ACCATTATCTATTTGTGCTGATTTCTTGTATGAAAGCGCCCTAAATAATTCGTAAGCAATAATGTCTTTATTCGAATGATAGGAAACTTTACAAGTGTGTGTGTGTGATATCTATTATCGCGCTCGTTATATTCACAAATTTTCGAATGGATATCAAAACCAGAGTTACAACTAATCTACTTGGCGATAACGACGATTATATGCAATAGACTAATATATCTGCTAATACATACGATTCGTTGGTCGACAGTATAAACAATGTTCTAAAACTAATTGACGAGCTAACATTTCTTATCTTGTCGGCGCGTGTTGTGTTATTTTCCGATTCGAAATAGGCGCATTTGTCTTATGTCGCACCAATAAGCGACATCTAATAGCGAATAAAATGCCATGGTGAACGGTTATTTCCTTGAAATATGGCATTAACCGGAGTCCTACATGGAACAGTAAGCTATCCACGAGGATGCACTTTGAGTATACGTTATGTAGGCAATACAGCAACTTCATAGCTCAGCAACACCTTTGTTGATTGGTCTAGGAAATCATTGCCGGATTATCGCAAGTCTGACCCCTCGGTAGTGTCACTACCGCGCGCGGTAACGCATATTTTTTATCAGTCCACGTAATTCTTCATGAAAATACAATCAATACCATACCAAACGTATGGACGAATTATATGGAAGAGTTTCGATGTCTTCAATCAGGGATAATGGCACTTGGGAGATAGCTACCCTTGTTAAAATATTTGACTGTGTTTCCGGAGGAAGAGGTAACTACGGATTGAATAACTTGATATGATTACAGCAAGTTGATGCAGGGCAAGCATTTTTTAAGGAATTAGATGATGCAATTCCCGTCGACGACGTTACAATTATTGACAAAACTATTCCAGGAATTTCGACATGAGAATTTTCATCATCATCGCTATTGATCTGCTCATCGTCTACAATTTCCTCTGTTTGCATCTTTGTCGCATCATCTTTCTTTGGATCGACTATGTAGGTCGAGCTTTGTCATTTTCGTTTGCCCCGCATCCAGGCTTCTGTCGTATGATAGCCATAATGCGCGCAACGGCTCGTTAGCATATTCGACTACTCGCATCGTATATCAACATTAAATTCGGTCCCACCTCTATGCACCGCGGTAATGCCAGACGAGAGCGCGGGCATATATCGGAAAACGCACGAATTCTTCAGATCATTGCAATGCCGGGAACGGGGAGAGTTCACGGTGCTGAAGACGTGTTTATTAAAGTGACGTAGGAAATCTACATGACCACTGGAGCGTTGGCATCATTTTGCTGTACTACTAATTTTGCTATTCCGCGAGAACGTGTTGTCTCCTATATTCCAGAGATCAACATTCTGTAGAACGTTGAGAAATGGATATCGTTAAGATTCTGATTGATAGTTATTAACAAGTATGTTAAACATCGTTATTAGTAACGAGAAAGGCTTTTACATGCAGTCATTAGCGGTTGATAAGACATACAGTCGGTCGCCATCATTTCTTGCTAAAATCGGTGACTATAGGAGTGTGACTACATGGAAGGAGTCACGTGAAATATTCATAATAAAAATCGTTAATATAATATTGTACCATACTATTAACACCTATAAAAACATCATCCCTGTAATCGCACAGAAAAATTCGAATATACTAACAAACCGCTTTCAGACGTTTCTGTGACATTATTTTACCAAAGATCATATATCTGGGTGTGATAGTGATTATAGATGTGCCTAATAGGGGTAAATTTATTATAAAATCTGTTGGTTCCAACAAAAATGTGACTAAATGGGGGTCGTGACCATATAACTATAGCGACTGTATTATTAACATGAATCCGCTTACCACCTACTGAAATATGATGAGAAAACTTCTAGACATTGTTATTATCGAACGAGCATACTCTCTGGATTTTGGGGCAGATGGATAAGATAATCAGCAACCGACACGTCGTACATGCTTCTCTTAAATAACATTAAAATAAGAGCTAATCCAAAAGAACGTACGCGTGTAACGGCAAAGATGTCATGTGCGTGCAAAAAATTGGGGATGTTATATAAACGGGTACGAGTGTACTTTCTTCATCTTATCTTGCTTCTAAGATCATAAACTACAACCAAACAATGGACCCCAAGGCACGTATGGGACTGTATTATAATAAATAGTTCAGTGTTAATGATTCGATTAACAATACTAAATATTCGTTTGACCATCAAATTTGAACAGACGGACCCCGCTTTATGGTCATCGTAAAACTATCAGGCCCGGAGAAGAAATGCCGAACATGGATGCCACATTTGCATTTTTGATACGCGAGGAAGGGGCTCCTGGCTTATGTATATAATACCCGTCCATACTTGCTGATCGATTAATTGACCCA